TTTAAAAATCTCTCTGCATAGTCTCTGTTTCCTTGAAATTTATTTTTTCTGCTTTCTTTTCCTTTGGTCTTTCTATATTAGAGGCTTTCCCCAAATGTCTGCAGTATGGTTATCTATTTACATTTAAAAGTAGAACACTCAAAAGAGATTGAAAAGTTTGGTGCCTTTACGTAGGGCTTACTGGTGATGGGCTTCCCACCGGGATGGCTTGGTTGAGTCATTTCCTGGGAGGATACCATGGGCTGGTCCCCGAAGTCTCCAGGCAAAACGCATCCAGTATGCTGCCTGGGGGTTTCATCCCCGATGTCTGCTACAGCTTGGGAGCCAGGTTGGGAGGAAGGCTGGAGATCTCAGTACCTGCATGTCACGCTTCACTGCCTACCTTGCAGCCAGTGTGGTGCCCTGTCCTCCCTGGGCCCAGTGTTGCCTTCAGACATGGTCTTGTTCACCTTCTCCAGAGAAGTAGGCCCAGCTGTCCACCAGGGCTGGGAGAGGTAGATGCTGGCTGAGGGACCGAGGGAGGCCGTAGAGGGGAGGTGAAAGACGTCTGACCCATCTTCTGTTTTTAAGCCCACCTTTGCCCCGTTTCCAGAGGTACCTACGGTCTCTGGTACTGCTCCTTCCCGAGTCTGGAGTAGGGAATGGGGGCGCGGTGCACACGGAGTTTCTCTTCTGCATTCCCCAACCCGAATTTTGGATGTAGCTTTCTAAACCAGTGATCACCCAGCCATCTGCTCGCGGGGCTTCCAGAATGTGCTTGCTGTTGTCTCCCTGCTCACTCCTTCTAAAAGCCCTTCGCTCTTGCTTTAGAAGGGATTCTGGGAGGTAGGAGTAAACACATGTTCAACCTGCCATCTTTAACTCGAAGTCTTTCTTCATGTGTGGTTTTTTTTTTTTTAATTATTTTTACTGAATAAGTAATACATACTTACTCGAGAACATTCTACAAAGTGTAAAGAAATACGATTTTGTTACATTTCCATTCAATTTTTTCCCTATCTTTTGTTTACATCACGGACTTCAAGTTACATTTCCATTTCTACATCAGTCACTTCCCCTATTGACGGGATCCGGCCATCAGCGTCCCGTGAGCAAAGCCCACCCCTGAAGCAAACAAGGTCCACCCCCAGCTAAGGCCCCATATGTGCACTCCCCGCTCACGGCTAACCCTGAAACAGCGAGGACGGGTGCTGGCTCCCTCACCTCCCCGGCACCCCCCCCCAGCCCGCTCCGACGGGCTTCCGCCCCATCACACCACCAGGTCACTGTCGCTGCCCACCTGCACGTCCAGCGGACATGTCAGTCTTGCCTTACTAAGCCACACTGCGGAATTCAGCACGGCTGACCACATGCCCTCCTTCTGGAAACCCTCTTCTCTTGAAAGACCCCACGATGCACTACCCTAACTTCGCGTGCTCTACCGCCTGAGCCAGCCAGGGCCCCAACTATCCTCCTGTCTTGCTACCTTTCTGACCAGTCCTTCCATTTCCTCTGCCTCCTCCTTCCTTCTCCAACTCCTTCAACAGTGCTCAGCATTGGCTGTGTGTGAGAATCATCCTGGAACTGTTTTAAAGAACATTAACGCCTGGGCCCCTACCCAGAACAGTATATTCCAAATCTGCTCTAAAAGTCAGGGCTCCTAAGGGGATGGCCTGTGCTTTCTCCTGTCTCCCCCTCCAGACCGGGTCTATGCTACCAAGGCCCAGATGTCTGTTTCTAGCTTAGATCTCGGCTTTTAACGCTTCCAGACTTTCTTGCCTCCAATTGAATTCTCCTCAGGGCAACTGGAACTCCTACTTGCCCTTTAGGTTCCCACTAGAAAGTCGTCCATGCTGTGTGTCTCACAGGCCCGGATGCTTCCCTTCATAGCACCACTGCCCTCCTTAGTGGAATGTGTGGTTGGGGGCGATGGGGTTAGTTATTACTATCCGTCTCCTGACATAGTGCCTGGTCCAGGAAAAACCCCTGAAGGGGCGCCTGGGTGGCTCCATTGTTAAGCATCTGCCTTCAGCTTAGGTCATGATCTTGGGGTCCTGGGATGGAGCCCCTGAGTCAGGCTCCCAGCTCAGTGGGGAGTCTGCTTCTTTCTCTGCCACTCCCCCTGCTTGTGCTTGCTAATAAATGAAATCTTAAAAGCAAAAACAAGAACTAAAGAATAAACATACAAATGAAACATGTGGTATAAAAACTTCATTGATGATTTCAGTGGCTATAGGAGAGTCTGCATAATGTAATATAGTATCTGTCCATCTTAATCCACAGTTTGGATTTTTTTTTTTAAGATTTTATTTATTTATTTGATAGAGAGAGACACAGCAAGAAAAGGAACACAAGCAGGGGGAGTGGGAGGAGAATTGGGCTTCCCGCTGAGCAGGGAGCCCGAGGAGGGGCTCAATCCCAGGACCCTGGGATCATGACCTGAGCCAAAGGCAGCCGCTTAACAACTGAGCCACCCAGGCACCCCCACGGTTTGGATTATTTTCCATGCTAGACTCTCAGAAAGCAAAGGAAATTCTTAGGTCAAGTATATGAACATTTTAAATATTTAAAACATATTTTAAGACTAAAAAAATATCAAATTGCTTTTCACAAAGACTGAGACCTTGGATTTCAGCCATACCTTCTGGTTTGATTTTACTCTCCGCTAATTTGTTAGGTAAAAATGGGACCTAGCTTCCCCAGACCTTCGTTACCCCCCTTTGAGGGCCATGAATGGGAGCCCCCGTTTGAGTGTTTTGAGAGCAGGGTCGATATCAGAAGCATTTTTGCCCTCAGGGATGCAAACCATAAAAAAATAGTTTATTGAATACATTCACTTAGCCAGTTCATAAAATTGTCATGTTCAGTGTACTTGGAACTCTGGAAAAATCTCAGATTTCTAGGCTTTTCCCCACCAGTATCGCACCAGAGCCAGTTCTGCAGCCCCCCTTCTAAGGGGTGAGATGTGGGAGCTCTGGTAACAGGCTCTGCTAAGGGCAGGGTCACAGAACAATCCTGCTCTCCAGCAGCCAGGGCCCCGGTCACACACGGAGGTGAGATGGGGTTGTGTGGTGGGGGTTCCCACGTCCACCCCTGTGCTCCCTCCCGTCTGGGCTCCAAGTGTCTGGGGATGGTCCGTGGAACAAATGGCACATTCCAGCCACACAAGGCAGCCTCTGTGATGCTCGGGCCACGGACGCACGTGTACCACAACAAACCCAGCCTGGGGCCCAGCAGGCTGAGGTTTTTGCTTTCGATTGTGGCCCTGCTCTGTGGGAGGCCCGTCTGTGAGGAGGGTGTGAACAAGCAGACAGAGGGAGGGGACGGAGGCTGTCGTCCCAGCGCGTGTGAGATAATGCGCGAGTAGCAGCACCTAGACCACAGAATCCCACTGGGACATCAGATTTTAGGGTATCTACCCTGATCCACTTGCCCAGATTCTTATTCTCCGCCTCCCAGGCCTGGTTCTTACTTCTTCTGCTTTGAATTTCTCTCGTCTTCCCACGTGATCCTTGTTTTTGGCTGCGGCCACTCAAACTTGTGGACACAGACTTATTTTCTTCCAAACAAAAGGACCTTCTGCCACACGCCATGCTTTGTTCCCAAGTCCCCAGTCTCACCTGCTTTTATTTTTTATTTTTTTAAAGATTATTTATTTATTTATTTGACAGAGAGATCACAAGTAGGCAGAGAGAGAGGAAGGGAAGCATGTTCCCCACCGAGCAGAGAGCCCGATGTGGGGCTCGATCCCAGGACCCTGAGATCATGACCTGAGCCAAAGGCAGAGGCTTTAACCCACTGAGCCACCCAGGCGCCCCTCACCTGCTTTTAAATCATGATTTTTGTCTGCCAGAATGAACCGAGACCAGCCTCTACTCTCAACTTAAATCTCTCCCAAATCTCCAGGAAGGGGGCGGGTACCGGGTTGCTCTGAGGGATGCCGGCACTTATTTTTCTAGAGGCTTCTGTCTCTTCTGTCACTTGCAGCTCTCAGTCACCGGAGCTGACTTTACCCTAGATGTTGCTGGACCTCCTGCGAGGATCCAGCTGACAGGTCCCAGAACCAGCGACATAATTTCATAACTAGACCTGGCCTCTGGCACTGGTGAGTTCTCCGGCTGGACTATCCTTTTTCCAAAGATAGGATCACCCGTGATGTCTGGCTGTGAAGGACAAGGATCGGCTTCCACTGCAGACCTTCAAGGTAGATGATTCAAGTCCAAAGGCAATTCCAAAGCAGGAGCTCCACAAACAGACCACGCTCCGCAAGAGCTCCAGCAGGGCAGGCACGTGGGCCATGGACATGGGGGCTGGCGAGGGACAACGCCTATGCAGAATGACCGCGCCTGGGGTTTACTGGGCTGCCAGTACAGCCCAGTCACCCCATCAGGCCCCAGAGACTAGGACCCGTCCTATTTTACAGATGGGGAAAATAAGCTTCCCCAAAAGGCTGAGTTAACTTAATCAGACCATCGGTGAGCACAGAAGCCAGGATTCAAAAACGCAGGTATCTGACACCGGGGTCCGCACTTGAGACACAGGCCTTTCCGCGGCCTCTGTCACACCACCCCCTCCACACACCGTTCTGCACATCGCACAACGTCTCCCGTCCAGTCTGTCTGTCCCTATCCCTCCACTGACCAGCTGCAGGACCGGGGTGAGCATTCCTTCTCTGGAATGCTCCACAAGGCACCATCTCTAGGACCCTGACAAGTGACCACTTTTCTTTCAGTTCTGGTTTTGTTTCCCGCCAAGATGGGGGTGACACCTGGTCATGTCAGAAACTCCCCAAGATGATAAACCCAATGGTGTTCTAATTGCTCAGCCACTTGGGCCACTGGTGGGAGGCAGGGGGGTCAAGGAGGCATCAGGCAGGTCTCGCACCTACAGGCCTCCTTCCTGCACACATTTGCTAACACAGCCCTCAGGGGTCTGCTGTGGGTGGCGACACCCCACGCCGGGCCTCCTGAGGGCTGGAAGACCTGGAAGGCAGAGCTCTGGGCCACCCAGGAGCCACTCACCAGCACTGGGATCTGCGGGCGTCTCGCCTTCCTCGGAGTCCTCCTGCTCCTGCACGGTCGGCCTCTCTCCACGCTCCATCTGCGACATGAGGTCTGGTTTGGAAATTGCATAGTCTGGGCAGAAGGAAGGAAAGAAGACATGCTATGTGGTGAGGTCACGCTGGCTGTTGTAAAGGTGTCACCTGTGTGAGTGGGACATGAGGAGGAGCCACGCGACCAGTGGCAATGCTGGAAAAGAGATGCGCCCGGTTCCCAGCCCTTCTTCTGAAGGCCCCCGCGGTGTGTAGGCCCGTGCGTGCATGTGTGAGGGGCCTGCACGCGTGCAGGGCGGGGGGCAGCAGCCATGTGCACACCAGCAGGAAGTGGGCCTGTCGCAGGTGGCTGTGGCTGCTCACGGGTTGCCAACCCCGGCTGGGGCTTCTCATGACAAAGGCACACAAGAGAGTTGAAATTTTATAGGGTAAAAAACGAGTCCTGACAAAAATCCAGAAGCTAAAAAACTAAGCGCGGATAGTGTCCCTCATGTTTAAAAAAGTTTAAAGCTCTCTGGAAATGAAGTCACCAGATGAAGACACGCGGAGGAGATGTGCATGCACGTGTGCGCCCACACGGGGCTTCTTTGTAAATGGTTAACATCCGTTACTCTATCTAAAGAGCCACCACGATTCGTACAAGATAAAAAAGCAACTGTAAAGAGGTAATTCATAGAAGAAGTGCAAATGGCCAGTAAAGACAGGAAAAGATGCACTAGCTCACTACTCATCAAAAAAAACACAAACAAACAAACAAACAAACAAAAACCCCATAATGAAAGTAATGAGGTGTCATTCTTCACCCATCAGAAAGGACAACTGTTTAAAACAAGGCCATCGGTTCGAGCCCCGGCGTGCAGAGACTGCACTGCCACGCTCAGGGGCATGAAGGTCACAGCCTTCGGGAGGAAGTGGCCGCAATACTGTGAGCGGGCCTCCTCTTTGCCCAGCAGACGCCCTCCTGGGAAGCCGTCCTCCTGCGGTCCCCAGGCAGGTGCACACGGACACACAGGGACGCGGAGTCCGGACGCGGCAGCAGGCAGGAGATGCAATCAGCCTGCTCCCTGTCCACAGCGAGACAGACGCCCAGCGGCTCCCTGGAAGGCCACACATCCTTCTGAACGGGCCCACCTGTGCGGCTGTGGAAAGCGGCCTAGGGCCCATCCTTCGATAGAGTAAGTCACCCGTCCCCATCCGTGCAGGCCACAGGTGGCCTGTGCACAAGCTTGTGTTTGCACGTGCATGACTGAGGATGGGAAACGACGCAGGCCTAAGGGATTGTGCTGGTTACCTCTGGGGGGGCACGGGGGTTGCTCTTTATTCTATAAATCTAAATTGTTAAATTTCCAACAATTTCAATAAACTGAAATTTCAGTTATGCATATACTTTAAAAAGAAAAGAAAAAACGAGTCAAATAGAAGAAAGTTCTCTTAATGGGGAGGTATGTGGATATTCAATGAACAATTCTAGCAAGAATCCAAGTTTCTAAGCATAGACTTGCATATGTAAATGTTTTCCTAACTTTTTTTGTGTGCCCAAAGAGTTCCCCACACCAGACAGAATGATATGTATAAAAATGAAGTATATTTTCCCAGGATTTCCTCCTGAAATACTCTTATTAATGGAAACAACAAGAATGCACAGACTTCTGGGGAAGAGAGTCCTTGATGAGACCGTGACTTGCTGGTGGAACCCAGCATGAGCATTGACCCCCCGGGTCACAGCCTCTTCTCTGCGCAGAAGAGATAAGAACCCGGGGGACGTAGGCTCTCCATCAGTGACAGTGTTCAGTCACCTGAATGGGCGAAGGGGAGTGAGGGCTCATACCTGTCCCAGCGCCCTCTTGGGAGAAGCGGGGATTAAGTAACTTGATTCTCATAAAGCCCTTCACACTCTGCTTTGTAACAATTTCTTGGACAGACTCATTAAACATATACGTACAGAGCCAGGAGGAAATAATGTAGAGGTGGGACCCTGACGTCTGTCTCCTTCCCACCTGTCCCCGTGGCTTCTCAGTGGAGTGGTGCTCTGTCTACACGCTGTCCTCATCATCTCTGCTACCCTGGTGCCTGGGGGCGTTTGTTCTAACTGGTTGTGAACCAGTTGTTAGAAAAACTGAAATTTAGTTTTTCTTGTTTCTGATTATTGGTAGGACTGACACTCAGAACTCCCCACGTCTCCAAACGAACCTCAGGCTTCTGTCAAGGAAGCCCCCCAGCGTGGGTGAACTTTTTTCTTACCCATAGACACCAGAGACTCGTAGTTGCCCCGCATCACATTCTTGTAGAGCTCCTTCTGCCACTCAGACAGGTTCCCCCACTCCTGCTCGGAGAAGTGGACGGCGACATCGTCGAAGGTGACAGGAACCTGGAACCACACAAACTCAGCTTGGACCACCTGGATGGCAGTCACGGGCCCTCAGCCGCCAAATCCCAAGGCAACAAATGGCTCTCAGCCCCAGGCCCTGGCTCGACCCCCTTCTCCCAGGACTGCAGTGGGAAAGGCCCAACGGCCCAGCGGTGGGTCTTCACCGCAGACCTCTCTAGAAATCTGGCCTGACTTCAGCCACTGTCCTGGCCCCACAGAGTAAGGGTCTCGTTTTGTCTGGTCTGTTTTTCTGTCTAATGGGATAATCCTTGTGGCCACAAAGCACGGTCTGCAGACCAGCAGCAATGATACCGGGGAATTTGCTAGAAATGCAGACCCCCAGGCCCCAATCTAGACCCACTAAATCAGATTCTGCATTTAGTAAGATCGCCACACTAACATTTGAGAAGGGCTGGCATAGAGAATACAGTCCAAGTCCCGTCCCTACATAAGGCTGTGTACAGGGACAACACACAAAGAACAGAAAGAAAACCAGCCCACATTCAAGTTCAAGATTTTCTGGGAAAATAATATTAAAACCTAACTATTCTCTAGTTTTTTAGGATACTTCTCGAAATCACATTTTTACTGGCATTAACATAATTTCTAAGTCAACTGTTAAAAACGTGGAGCAGGACAGAGCCCTGGAACCTTCCACCGAGGTCTCCGTCCACCTCGGACAGTGAACTCCCAACGTTCACACCAAGTCCCACCCACTGTGAACTGAACGCCCTTCAGAACTGACCATCCCTGATCACTAGGAGGTCCTCTGACCTGTTCACCCAGGGCTTAACCAACAGGACAAACGTGATGTTGGCGTGTCTTGTGCTTGGTGAAGTCATGCTGGCAACTAGGTATCATTGTATGTCTCCTTAACCACCTCTTCTTCCTTCTTTTATATGAAATTCCTAAAACACATGCAATTCGGATCCCTCCTTGGGAGGCCCCAGTTGGGATGGCTTTACCTTGGGGACCTCTCCATTGCTGCCCGGGGGCAGGCGCAGGATCCAGAAATTTCGGTTTTTCAGCAGGTTCTCCATGTTCTCCAGCCGCCTCTGCAGCAGCCCGTACTCCTGCAGCAGGGTCCCCAGCACAACCCACTTGCTCTCCAGGTGGTTTGCAAACTCCACGGCCGTCTTCTCGCAGTCCGCCAGCTTCTTCTCGGCGGTCCCCGTCCGCCCCTCCAGGGTCAGGAGCCGCATGGCCTGGGCCTCCAGTTTCCTCTCCACCGCTTGGACGGCAGCCCACACGGCCAAGCGGGTGATCTCCGCCGTAGGGAGTGGTGTGTCCTTCTGGGCTGCAGAAGAGATCTGGAAGGGAGTGTCTTTTTGGGAAACAGGGCTCTGAAGCAGGGGGTCCATGTCAGTCTCCGGAACTGTGGGGGAAAGGGTCAGGGGGTCTTTCTCGGGAACTTCAGGCGAGTGGAGTGGGGCTTCTTGGTGGGGGGTGGAGTGGGAGAGAAGTGATATTTCTTGCTCAGCAGCAGCTGGGGGTGGATACTGGGTCTCTTCTTGGGAAGTTAGGGGACCCTGGAGATGAGTCTCTTGCTCAGAAACGGCCGGATACAGGAGTGAGGGTCCCTTCTGGAGAACATGCGGCATTCGGCCAGAGGTCTCTAGCTTGGGAGTCTGGGGCAGGGAGCCTTGTCGGGGAATGGGGGGAGACGAAGAAGGAATCTCTTTGGGGGGAAGAACACGGGACTGGAACAGAGTTTCTCGGGGGATTCCGGCAGGGGCCTGACGCGGGGTTTCTTCTTGCAGAACACTGGGGAATGACAGAGGTGACGAGCGTTGGGTCTCCATGTCCAGCTGCTGGACCTGTGTTCAAGGAGAGAAAGGACAGGATTGAAGGCCACAGAATCCAGATGGCAAAGTAAATGCCAAAGATCGGCACCCACTGAAAAGGGTCGTGGGTTTCCTGGTAATAAGATACATTGCGCAGACACGAGTCTCTTCTTGAGAGCCTAGAGCTGATTTAGGTATCAATTATAAAACTATTATTAACAACAAAGAAAAGGTGGCCACCTTCTGTGTTGGTAGAGCTGTCTCTTTCTTCACAACACACATCTCACGGGGACCACCCAAGACTAGAAGTGGACGAGAGGAAAAGATATATGCCTCTGTTCTTGGTCCTGTTCACGCCGACTGCTGCCAGCTCACTCAGCCTCTCTGTTCTCGGTGTCCTTGCCCGTAACACAAAGACAGTATCTGACACACCTGCCACCTCACTGAGTTTGAGCACGGAGCATCAAAGAAAATAAGACTTTGTAAACCAAAAGAGCAGAACTGTCAGTGCCGGGCACCGTTATGACCCCCAGACTCCCAGCAAGGTGGAAGGAGACCCCAGTGGGGCCAGGGCTATTAAAGGACTTCCCTCGATGATGAACTTGACATCTGGCCCCACTGCTCCTGCTTGTATTAGCAGGCAGTCCCTGTGCCCTCTGTCTTAAGGGAAAACTTAAGGGAAACTTAAGTTTCCCTTACTCTGATAAAAGCTGAATTGTGGACTTATCAATACAATTTCTCCAAGCATGTCTATGGAGAGAGGCTGAATGGGCTTCTGGGTATCCCAGGCTGACAGAGAGAGGAGAGACCCTGCCCGAGCCAGGCCAGGGGACAGCAGTTTAGCCCCTTGTACGCGGGAGCCAAAGTGCCCGGGGCCGATGGTCCCCACTGCAGGAGGTGTGCTCTGGTGGTCTGAGCTCCTCCCTGTGGTCTGTGAGGTGGGGAACGAGGAACAGAGGCCTGGAGAGGCTGGAAATGGAGCGCAAGTCAGCCATTCTGTGACTCCCGTCAAAACTGGTGGGGGGACTAGAACTGAAATAAAGACTGACTCCTTTGGGGGTTTTCATTATTCACTCTCTCCCTGTTCCCCACCTCAGCCACCTTCGTGTTGGGAGAATTCTTGTGTCACCAGGGAGGTGAAGCCAAGATCTTCTGAGTGGCCCGCTCTGGGTTTACTAAGCCCATCAACAGCGCTATTGGAACCGAACAGAAGTTCTTCTATAACATGTTTGTCCATTTGCTTGTATCTTCCTTCAACCAATCTGTTGAGGGACCCCCTGCTGTGCCACGTGCAAGTGATCTTTAACGTAACTGGAATCCCCATTCTCTTCGTTTGAAAGGGAGCATATTTAGTCTGACACACAGTATGTGCTCAATGAATGAACAATACAAATGATTGGGTCACGTGAAAAAACAATGTTAGGGGACAGAATGACATTGCTTCGGTCATCTATCAGAGCCGTCTCCACTAATTTGTGTCTCCTACCGCTTTCCTTCCTTTATTTGCTCATTCATTCATTTACGAGGCCTCCACCGAGACAGCACCACACGTTAAGCCAAGAATTGGAAACTGAAGGCCTGTGCAGGCGGAATGTTCTCGAGGTAGTATGATCCAATAGTTCTGCAGCTAACCAGATGTGAGAGCTTATTAGTCAGATAACAGCTAACAGTTAGTCAGCATTTACTGTGCGCCCTGAACTGTGTTAAGCATTTCAAAGGGCTATCTCTCACGTCATCCTCAGGAAGCCCTAGGAAACTGGGACTCTGAGAACTGTTACCCACACTTAGCATAGGGAGGCGTGGAAGTTTGGAGAGGCCCACCCGCTCGCCCAAGGTCACACCAAAGGCTGGCCGCAGACACCGTAGGTTGCCTCTGGGCCTCAGCTGTCAACCCAGGTAGCAGGTCAGGTTAAGTGTTCTGAATCCTTTCTGCCTCTAAAATTCAGAGAAGCCTGGAGAGTAAACATAGACCTGTGGGAGGGTCTATGGTTGGGAAGGCCTTACCCATAAAGACACTTCATGGACCCCTTTGAAAACTAATGAAAGTTGTGGATTCTCTCCCTCAAAAAACTAAGAAAACAGAACAAAACAAAACCACAGGTGGGCACACACACAAAATTCTGCAAACACTTTTGAGGGGTTCACAGACCCCAAAACCTGGAGGTTCATCAAGCTACCTCTCAACTTGTCACAGGTGAGGGCAGACAGGACAGCCCTCTGGGACGGGAGCCTCAGATGCCAGGGGGAAATGACCAGCATATCGGAACACAAAAGGCACATTATGGCCCTGTCCTTCGAGGGGGGATTAGGGTATTTGCCTACAACTAATGGGAAGAAGGAAAAATCCCCGGGGGCCAAGTTAGTCTCCCTGAGTAATACAGGGGTTTAACTACAACAATGAAAAAACTAATCATAATAATAAAAAGCTCCAGTACAGTACCTAAAGCCTAAAGCCAGCAGAGTAAGATACGGTTACCAACTAGTCTAATCAGAGCTCAAAGGAAAATACCATTTCTTTGCTATTACTAGACTGGCTCTCTCCACTTCCAGATTTGGAGGACTGTAGAGGGATGAGGGGGGCCACAGGAACATACCCATCCTCTACCCCCAAATTAAAGCCCCTTGCTATAATGTCCTCCGTGTCAGTAAACCTGTGGCTCAATTTTACCCTAAGCACAAGGAGAGGGATGGAGCTATAAATATAGTATCTAAGATTAATAAGCTTGCATTCTCAAACTGTTGCTGGCAGGGGGAGAATTCTAGACTATAGATCATAGGATTTAACCCATCCTCCCTACCTCGTGCATCCCGAGTGGATGGGGTCCCCAGGACTCATGCATATTAGCAGAAAAAAATACATCACCATTCATACCGATTTATAAAAAAGCCATGCCATTTTCTTGAATGACCCAGTGTAGTTAACTCAGAATTATATACCATTCAAGGGCCCTGGAGACCGAAGCCCAGAGGTAGGCATTTTTAAATCTCCATTTTGCTTTATTTTTCCAGTTGATGATTACTATTTTTATTGAACCGGGAGGCTCTTTAGAAAGCATGTATCCCGACCCCCTCCACACAACAGTAAACTGAGGCTCACAGGCGCTGACTCCCAGCAGCCATCCTGCTCTCCAGCACGGCCACTGCATCTCAAAGAGCAGGTCTGCGGGGAGATTTCAGGGCTGATTTTTAAGAACGGCCCACTAAGCAGGACCATCGGCCACGAAACCCTTAGGAGCTCGCTCCCCAGACCCCATCCGTCTGGACACCCAAAATCTGGCGCGGGGGGGGGGCTCCAGACGCAGAAGCTGGAGGCCCAGGCGCCCGAGCCCGAGGGTCACCTGCTCCCCACGACACAACCGCTCGGCTGGGCGCTGCCCAGCCTCTCACCCCACCGTCACCTCCCCCCCGACGGGCCGCGTCCACCGCGCTCAGGGCCAGGCCCCTAACCCAGGGGAGGCCGCCACCAGAGCCGCCCCCTCCCCGTCCAGGCCCGCAGCCCGAGAAGGCTGGCATTTCTGGGGACGCGGGCACCGGGCCACGGAGGATTCGCTACGTGACCTTGGGGCAGGCCGGGCAGGTCGCCGCCAGGTGTCTGTGCCTCAGTGTCTCCGCTCTGCGAAATGGGGAGAGCCGCGTCAGCGCCGCGCTCCGGCCGCGGGAGGCTCGGCGGGGGCGAGCTCTGCGGAAAACGTGCGGCGGCAACCCCGACGGACGCAGCGCCGGCTCCGCAGGGAGCGAGGCGCGTCGCCCCGGGCGCCCACCTCCGGGCCCGCGAGCGTGCCAGGCCCCGGCGTCCCCGCAGCCTCGCCCGGACGGCGGCCGGATCCTCGGCCCCGCTCCCATCCCGCAGCCCGCCCCCCCCGCCACCCCCGTTAAGGGGAGCGCGAGCCCGCCGGACCCCCCCCAACCCCCCACGTCGCGGCGTTTCTGTCCCTTACCGAGACCCCAGGCCGGGCCGCCGAGCCCGGGACGCGCAGGCCGTCCCCCGGGCCCCGAGTCCGCGCGTCCGTGCGCGCGCGGGCCGCCCTCACCGGAGCCGGGGCCGCCTCGGCCATGGCCGTGCGCTGTCCGGCCCGGCCCGGAGTCGCCGCCGCCGCCGCGCGGCCCCGCGCAGGCCGGTCCCCCGGCCTCTCCGCAGGCGGCGCCCGCCCGGCCCTGCCTTCCCCGCCCGGGCTCGCGCGGCCGTCGGGCCCGGCCTGCTCAGGGCGGGCGGGGACGGAGCGGCCGAGCCGGGCGACGGCGTCGGAGCGGGGCGCGCGGCGGTGCGGGCGGCCGGGCGGGCTGCGCCCCGGCCGCGAGCTGGGCCCCGGCCCTCAGCACCGGCCCCCGGCCCGCGCGCGGCCCCTCTGCGGCCGCGGCTGCGACCCCGGCTCCGGCCCCGGCCCCGGCTGCGAGCTGCGCTGCCGTCCCGGCGCCTCTTCAGCAGGGGAGCTGCACAGCAGCTGCCATGTTGATACAAACTGCATCCTGGGAGGCATGTCCCTCTCAGGCCGTTTAAAGAGAAACACTCCGAGGCTCGTCGGAGGCTGCAGGAACCCAGACAGCTCCATCTACAGCCGGTAGGAGCGAACAGTGTCGAGCGAGCAGCCGGGCGGCGACGGACACGCCCTGAGCCCCGGGCCAGCCCGTCGTGGAGCCCGGGCCGAACCGCGGGGCCTGCCCCCCCACCCCCCCCCCGGGCCCCCCCCCCCACCCCGGCCTCTCACCTGGGGTCCTCGCCTCCCCGGGCAGCCTCGGGCGAGACCCGGAGGCTGGAGAGCCGAGCACAAACCGCCGCGCGCGGCCGAGGCGACGTGCTGGGGTCTGGAGGCGGCTTGATTGGCTCCGACAGCCTTCCTCCCGCCGGATCCCCCTGCTCCTCTCAAACCCAGAACCCGGGTCGTTCCCTTTCAAAACCTGCGCTCACAAAGGGATCTAAGAAACCCGTCACACCAAAGCAAGCCGGGGTTCATGTGACCAGCCCTGTGCAGTCCGGGTTCCAGGGAAGCGGACTGTGGTTCCAAGGGTAACAAGGGGGTTGGGTGCTTTTGTGAAATGCCCGAGTGTTGTTTTCGACAGGAGAGGACACAATTCCGAGAATCATAGAGTGTTAGGGCTGGAAGGGGCGCGACCCGGCATTTGGGAGGAAACTGAGGCCGAGTGGGAAGGGACATGTTTACCCCAAGTTGCTGGTCCAGCCCCTTGCAGGAATGCTCTTTATAACCTTGAGAGACATCCCAAAAGAAAGGGTAGAGCTTGGAGTTGGTGGCTCCCTTTCCTGGACAGGTTCACGTACACCCATATTTATGGAACATCTACCAGGAGGCAAGAACTAGAAATGAAATGGGGGGTGGGGGGCGAGGAAGAGAGAAAGTACAGGCAGGCCTCCTGGATACACGTGAGAAAACCCAACTGCAACTAACTTGAGTGGGGGAGGGGGAAGAAAAGTAGAATATCTTTGTTCACCTAATGGGACCCCAGGGAGGCCAGGGGTGGAGCTGCCTTAGAAGGCGACAGGAGCAGGGCTCAGTCCCCTGGCAGTGTAGTTAGATGTCTCTTTAAAAGTGGAAAGTTATGGATACAGATAAGGCCAGGGCCGGTCCATTTCCTTCCCTTCCCAGAGGTTGGAGATCCCACCTATGTCTTGGTTCATCAGTAAACAGGGCATACCACTGGTTTGGGTATTTTAAATGTTTATGTGCATGATGTAATTCATTCCATATCAGGTTGCAGGTTTTTTGTTTTGTTTTTGTTTTTTTTTTTTTTTTTGGTAAGCATCGTTGTTTTTGAGATACAGTCCTGTTTAAACAAGAATATCTGGTTCATTCATTTTAACCACCGTATAGTATTTCATTGAATAAATAAAGTCCAGTTACTTCCCCCTCCACCGGGAATGAAAACAAACCTGCTGGCAGCAACATGTGTGTTCATGTCTCATTGCCTATGTTTGAGCTTCTCTGGGAGCGACCCCCAGACACAGAAGAGGGGGTGACAGGAGCGCCTGCTTCTTCCCTAAATTCACCAAATTGCTCACCAGTGAGATGGTGCCCAGTGACACTCCCACCAGTGGGGCGTGGGGTCCTGTTTCCACAGCCTTGCCAACACGTACTGATAATGGACTTTGAACCTTGTCAACACGATGAGTTTGAATTGAAATGATAGTTACTTTACTTTATATTGATATTTCTTCTTTTTTTTTTTTAAGATTATATCCATTTATGTGACAGAAAGATATCACAAGTAGGCAGACAGGCAGGCAGAGAGAGAGAAAGGTGGGGGGGAAGCAGGCTCCTCGCCAAGGCCCGACGTGGGGCTCCATCCCAGGACCCTGAGATCATGACCTGAGATGAAGGCAGAGGCCTAACCCACCGAGTCACCCAGGCGCCCCTATATTGATATTTCTATGTCCCTGATTATTAAGAGAATGGAACATCTTTTCACATTTCCTAGGCACTTGGTTTCTTCACATTTTCTCTCCATTTCCTTTCCCAGTGTTTCTGTTGTGAAGTCTTTTTCTTATTGTTGTTGTTGTTGTTTTTAAGATTTTATTTATTTATTTGACAGAGATCACAAGTAGGCGGGGTGGGGGGCGGGTAGCTGGCTCCCTGCTGAGTAGAAAGCCCGATTCGGGGCTCGATCTCAGGACCCTGGGATCGCGACCTGAGCCGAAGGCAGAGGCTTTAACTCACTGAGCCACCCAGGCGCCCCTCTTATTGGTTTATAGGTGCTTTTAAAAGAACGTATTAGGTATATGAACCCTGTCACCAGACTCAACATACTTACTGATAGGATTGCATTTCCATCGACCGTCTTTCTAGTTGTTTACTTTGTTTTCCAGGTCTTCGGTAATTTCTTTCTCTTTCTTTTGTTCCTTCTTTCTTTGCCTGCATTTGGATGGAGTATTTCTTTTTTTAGTAATTCTGTTTTCACTGTACACTTATTATTAGTTATGCCTCATTTTTAATGGTTGCCCTGAGTTTTAACACATACAGCTTTAATTTTTAACAGCCTACCTCCCGTGAGTTTTACCCCCTCACCATGCTACCTTAATCTGTGCGTTAATCTTACGGCAGGTTACCCACCATCCTTGTGTTATTGGTAGCGTACGTTTTATGTTTCCAAATGTTACCAGCAGGAAGGGAGTCCTCTAACTTTGTTCTTATTTTTCAAAATTGTTTTGGGTCATTTGGGTTGCCTTGAACTTCCCTTTGAATTTTAGGGTCAGCTTGTGAATTTCTGCAACTAAGCCAGCTAGAATTTTGATGGGGCCCGGAAATCAACTAATCCGCTCCTGTCCCACAGAGAAACACTTAGATGAATGAATATATGATCATTCTTTTTCAGACAAATGTAAGATGAGAAGTTCAGTACTAATTTTGGATTTCTTGTTACCAAAATAAAATGAAAGACTTCAAGAGTAAATTAGCTGCTTGAATTTATTTTTCTTTGTCTTCTAGCATATGTGAAAAGTGGAAAAATAAAAATATGCCTTCCTTTTGACATGTTTAACACGAAGTTACTTTTATAACTGCATATCCTCTCAGTGTATTCCCCCCTCAAGATTACTAGTTGTATATTTGATGATATTAAATAAATATCCTGTAATCACCTGAACTTTTTTGCTATAAATTTTTTACAGTAAGAATTGTTCCAAAAACCAGACGTGTATTTTTTTTTAAAGATTTTATTTATTTATTTGACAGAGAGCCAGAGAGAGCCAGAGAGCACAAATGGGGGGAGAATGGCACAGAGAGAGGGAGAAGCAGGCTCCCCGATAAGCAGAGAGCCCAGTGTGGGGTTCGATGCGGGGCTCGATCCCAGGATCATGACACGAGCCAAAGGCCGATGCTTAACCCTCTGAGCCACCCAGGCTCTCCCAAAAACCAAACATGGAAAGCAGTGATAAGACGAAAGCTTGCAGCTCTCTCGCTTACATGTTTGTAGAGCATGCAATTTTTTTTTTAAGATTATTTATTTAGGGGCACCTGGGTGGCTCAGTGGGTTAAAGCCTCTGCCTTCGGCTCAGGTCATGATCCTAGTGTCCTGGGATCGAGCCCCACATCGGGCTCTCTGCTCTGCAGGGAGCCTGCTTCCTCCTCTCTCTCTCTCTGCCTGCCTCTCTGCCTACTTGTGATCTCTGTCTGTCAAATAAATAAATAGAATCTTAAAAAAAAAAAAAGATTATTTATTTATTTATTTGAGAGAGCATCAGAGAGAGAGAGCAGGCACTTGCACACACACAGTTGAGGGGGCCGAGAGAGGATCTCAAGCGGACTCCGTGCTCAGCGCGGAGTCCTATGTAGGGCTGGATCTCACAGCCGGGAGATCGTGAGCCGAAAACCAAGAGTGCGTCACTTAACTGACTGAGTCACCCAGGTGGCCCAGAGCATGCGACTCTTGACCTTGGGGTTGTGAGCTCGAACCCACATTCAGTGTAGAGATTACTTAAAGATAAAACCTTTTTAAAAAAACAAATGGGAGCAAAAGGTGGTTTTTCCCCTTAAATCATTCTTCTCTTTTACAAACACTTTGTGTATTTTATTATTTCTAATTTATTACACTGTGATTATGAAAAGGGGTCTGAATAGAATTGGTTATTTGGAATTTGTTGTGATTTGCTTTGCAGCCAGTTTTTGTAAACATTTCATATATACTTGAACATAGAATCTCTAATTGTTTGGATAAAATTAGTTATATAGGTTTTTCAAATAGTCTAAATTCTTACTAATTTTTGTTTGTTTTATCAAATAGAGGTTTATAGAAATGTCCCATTGTGATTTTTTTTCCAGAATTTTCATCATAATTCTGTCATTGTTTGCTTTATATGTCCTGAGTCCATGCTGTTAGGTACATTATAGTTTATTATTTTTTTTAATAATACAGTAATCCTTTTTATCCTAGTAACGCTTCTTGCATTAAAGTCTGCTTTGTCTAAAGGTATTTACTAGTCCGTTTCCTTTACATGAGTATTTGCTAGGGGAGCTTTTCTCCCCCAACTCTTTACTTTGCACCGTTTTGTACTTTTGAGTCTTACTCTTGTCTCTCTCTCTTTTTTTTTTTTTTGAAGATTTTATTTATTTACTTATTTGTCAGAAAGAGAGAGAGAGAAAGCACACAAGCAGGCAGAGAGGCAGGCTCCCTGCTGAGCAAGGAGCTCGATCACAGGACTCT